AGGTGTTTTTCTTCCTACAACATCAAATCATATTAAGTGTGTACTTGTTAATGGTGATCATTTAATATCTCAAAAAATTGGCATATTTACATGAAAACCTGTAACTAGTTTTCAAGACTTTCAATTGAAGATATTAGAAAACGAAAAATAAAATGATTCTATTGTATAAAAAAAAACCTAACATAATTCAATCTCATAAAGAAAAAATATAAAATATTACTTTGATTGCATGGTCTAAGAAATTTAATATATTCTTCAGCATCCTCTAATAAGATTGCAACTTGAAATTGTCTATTAACATCTTTTTGTGCATCAGCTAAACAAAAAACAAAATAAATAGTCGAAACTATTTTAAAAAAGAAATTTGTAAATCTTACTTCATCGTATTTTCTATTACTTTAACTTTTGTTATATAAATATCTAAATCAAGTATATGAATAATTCCATGATCACCATTAACAAGTACATACTGAATATGAATTGATGTTGTAGGAAGAAAAATACCTGAATCATCCTAATAATGATAATTCATATCATTTGACCAAATTGTATATGTAACTTTTCCTGTTCTTACACTGCTTAAGGAACATTTCTATTAAGTATAATATATGTTAATATCATCATTTTCACGAATTGATCAAGACTTCTATCAACATAAAAATTTCAAAACATTTTGCTAATTAAATTTCTTTTTGTGTTGCATTAAAATCAGATGAACCTTGACTTTCAATTCGAATAAATCCTATCATCAAGAGTTTTATATTGAATTTGTTGATTCACCATCATCTTTCGAACGTACACCACTAAACATTTATTTTAAACTCTTAGAAAATTTACCTTTTTATTTACATCAGAAGAAGATCTTTTGGTGTTATGATTTCCAACAAAAACAACAACAATACCATAAACTAATAGTTCATGTTCCAACCAAAATATAATTATTTCATTGTAAAAATAGAAATGAATGATGAGCACATACTTGAGTATTGTGTGCGTGTTCCTCGTCTGCCTCGTGTGCTCACAAATGAATATACAGGAGAGAGAAAAATGGAAAAAAATATAGGTCAAGACGACAATCTTTTTTTTTCTGTTCTTCTCTCGTCCGCAACTTATCGTTCATGTTATCATTGATGATCAATGATAATATGGCATAATTAATGTCCTTTTAGCGTATAAAGATGAATGATCTTCTATGTAAAATCATTCAGTTTATTGAATCATATTATCATCTTTTTCTTTTCTATTTTAGAACGATTGCAATGACATGATATGGAACAATTCAACCTCGAACAAGACCATAAAATAATGTGTAGGTATTAATATCCACGCCAAAATATAAGGCAGTTGGCTATTTTTTAAATAACTTTTGATAGAAACAAGATAGAGACCTGCGGTTTTCAGCATTGGAAAGAAAATTATTTTCTTCATAAGAGTAAGGCAAAATCTGATTGGTCATCCATTGACCAATCAGGTGAACGGCATGGTCAACATTTTATAAATGATAAATGATATTGTGAAAGTTTTTCCCATTGAACTTTGACTTGAAATTAAATCATTAGATAGAAAAAATTGTTCTATTTCGATCTACGCAAGACCGAGCTCT